GATGGAGGCGTCCTCCGGCCCGGCCCTCCTCCCCGCCGCGCCGCCCTGGCCGCGGTGCTTCAGGAGGGTGCCGCAGCTGTTCAGAAAGTCCTTCAGCGTGCCTCCCACCGCGCCCAGGAGGTGCTCGTCCTCCTCGTAGCAGATTCGAAACAGTTCTTCGCCCAGAGACTCCTTGATGCTCTCCACAGGGACGCCTGAAAGCACACAGCACATCTCTGGCCCGCCACGCCCGAGGTCCGCCCCGTGGGACCGGCCCACGCCGTCCCACCCCGGCCGGACACCCGCACTGGGTCAGCTCCAGCCAGCGAAGCTTCTCAAGTCTAACGCCTCCGAGTAAGGAGCCCGGAGAGTTGACTTCTAGAGAAAGGACCGATGGGACACAAAGTACTCATTTCACTCCTCTTACTCTTAACTGTAAAAGGTTAATTAGAATCCCAGGAGGAAGGGCTGGAGGCCTGGCTCGGTGGCAGAGCGCTTGCTTAGCAGGAGGAGGCCTTGGCTTCAATATGCAGCCCAAATCAAAACTACAAAAGCTACAAGTCTAGAATGAAATCCATTTCCAAACAAGCCTTCCCATTTTTCTATTAACCAGAAACAAATAATACAATGATACATTTTCATGAAGGACCCTCCCCTCAAAGGGCTTCCTGAAGTATAAATGTCGGGATCTGGAATTAATTCAGAGTCACTGAAATTCATTTTTTTTCTGAACATAACTATGCATTTTTTTCTTCCTGAGTAAAACAGGACTTTTTTTTTTTTTTTTTTTTTTTTGGTGGCACCAGGGATTGAACTCAGGACCTTGTGCTTAAGAGGTAGCACCACTGAGCTAAATCCCCAGCCCCAAATAAGACTCTTACTATTTAACGTTACCCGAATGAATATTTGCTTAAAATATTTATTTTCTACAGCTTCTCCTTTCAAAACTTCTTTTATTCTTTACACTCTAGGTATCGTATTTTTCTCATTTTCAATGTAGAAAAAACAATACTGTCCTCTTCAAGGCACCACAGTGATCCACAGGGATGCGTTTAAAGTCATGCCTGGCTTCTAGGAAGGGCTCAATACCCATAAGCCATTGTAATAGTAAATAATAATAATAATATACTTTTAGAAAGATGTGACCGCTTGGTCCATGTACGCAAACTTTGACTCATCTATTTTCCCCAAAACTAATTATTAATGTGAGAACACTGCCCCCCCTTTTCCCCAGGGCTGCTTTCTAAAAAAAAAAAAAAAAAAAAAAAAAACTTTTTTTTAAAAAAAAAAAAAAAAAAAAAAAAAAAAAAAAAAATCTTTCTTTCACCTTGTTGAGCAGAATTTTTCATGTATGACTGAGGAACGCTTCACTTCAAAGTCAAAGCCTGTGAGAATCAGCTCCCCATTTTGGCCTTATCTATTTCTCAGCAAATAAATACGATAAAAGAGGAACTGTCTAAGGTCAAACAGAAACAGACAGCATGCAGAAGGGTCACGCTTTACATTAGCACAGTTAATAACAGCGGACGCTTCAAACTGGGACTCACCAGCAAACTGAGCAGGACACTTTTAGAGAAAGTGTCAGGCCTGCGAGTCCGGGGTACTACACCCTAATTACACCGACTTAAACAATTCCGTTACCTGCTGCAATTGCCTGGTCTGCAATCATTTTCTCAAAGTCTTCTTTATCCAAGGAGTTCCTGGAAATAATTCAGTTGTCTTAATTATAAGCTGATAACTGAACATTAAAACTCCAGGTTACATGGAACACAAAAAATGATGACAGATGGTTTCGCAGGAGAAGCCTTGGCTCAGGGTTTTGTGAGAAAGTGGTGACAGGCAGAGCCCAAAACAACTTTGAAAAAGCCCCCAATACACCCAACATCCAGTGCTGCCTCCTTCTAGTGAGGCACATTTGCCTTTTAAATCCAATATATTCCGTCTATCCTCTACCATCTATCTATCTATCATCCGTCCTGGTACCTGGGGGTTGAACTCAGGGCTTTCAGGTTGAGCTACATCCCCAGCCCTTATAATTTTGATTTGAGACAGGGCCTCAGTATGTGGGATCCTCCCAAGCCTCCTACACTGCTACAATCATAGGCCTGTGCCCCAGGCCCTGGCATGAAGTTCTCTTTAAATTGGCCAAGACTATGAGAACATACAGTGTCACGAAAGCGGGAGTGTGGACTGGCACAGAAGGTGGACAGTGTGGCTGAGAGAAATGCTCAGTGGAGTGCACTTGCCCCTCATGTGCTGTGAGCCCTGGGTTCCTCCTCAGAACGAGGAAGGGGGAGATATCCTCAGGGGTATTCTGATCATCCAGTGAGGAAGGCAAATCAACATACTGGTCGATTTCACTTTTCAGCGTCATGTTTTGTCTTTTTTCTAAAGCAAAGTCAAAGTATTTTTTGCTTTTAAGAGTCTCTACATTTATCTCGCAGGCAGTACTATATTAAACTTTCATCCTTATGCTTGTATAAAAGAACTAGTAACAAAAAACCCGTTCTTTAATATTACTGCACTGCTTTCTACAGTAGAGAAGTTGGTAGCACAGTGTACACATTACGATCAACAAGAAGTTTCAGCAATGTCAACTGGACAACTTGGGGGTTCATGTTTGGCTAACTGCTGCTTGACAATTTCTGATGATAGTGATTGCCCGTACCATTTACACACCACAGGCTCTATCTGAGATTCAGCGTCCCACTAGACAGGCCATGCTTACATACAGGCTGCCTTCATCACTGCTTACAACTAAATACTAGGAAGAAATGCTACATTTGAGTGGGTTGAGGATCACGGCATGTTATGTCCAGCTTGGATCCAGAGGTCCCAAATTGCTTTTTGGACCCTTCCCTATATTTAACAATCTTGTAATCTTCAGATTTGCTCCTTTTCCCTCATCTAAGCAACACCTTTCTTTTTCTAAAGAACGAGAGCAACCTCTTCACTCTGACATTTCCACTCCCAGCCCCGTGGGGTGTGATCAGGCCATGGCCAGTCCGGGCAGCACACAGCAGTGCCAGTTAAACCCTCTGTCCTCATCCTCACAAATGCAAGCAGGCATCAGCACTCGCACATGCACCAACAAATGCACGTGTGTCACACACACGCACACACATATGCACACACACACAGCCATGTGGTCATTACAGAATGCTGGGGTCAAAAAGATCCCAGAAAGATACACAGCAGAAGAACTGAAGTGCTCACGATGACTGTACTGAAACCCATTCCCTTAAAAACAGTGGTGGCCGTGGGGCCTCCTGCTCTTCATCCAAGATCCAGTTACTGTTTAATACGCTTTCTCAAGGCCAGAATAGACTAAATAGCATAAAATGTGGTTACGTGTGTTCAGTGTCTGGCAAGCAGAACAGCAGAGATGGTAGCAGATTTGCCCACAGGAACGCGAGGGAGAGAACCAGAGCCGGGGACGACGACTGAGGGCAAAGCAGGCGGGGCAGAGAGGAGCCACGCAGCACGCGGCAGGCAGTCGCGGAGAACAAATTGTACGTCAGCAGCCGAACGGCTGTCATTTAGAAGTACTACCAACTCTTCTTCTTTAATAAATCAGGAAAGTGGGAAAAGATTTCTCAAGATTTCCAAATGAAATGATGCTTGCTTAAGTGGTGAGATTTCCTTTAAGAGACACCACTGGAAACAGCCTCCCTGCTCATCTCCATGTGGCTGTCGGAACACAGAGCCCTGAGAATAAATTCTGAGCCAACTGGCTGCCAAGGATTTCAGCGGACGCCACAGTAGCAGAGCAAGAAGGGCTGCGGTGTCCTATCAGCCCAAGTAGGATTAAGGTCTGAGGCTTCTGGAATGCTTCGCGTATCACTTGTGTAAACAATGCTCCTGTCAGACCCAGAGCCACACTGGCTCCTTCTGGCCCATCCGTGACCCCTTCTTGGCTCAGTCCTGCTCCCTGCGGTCTGGGGCCAGCTGGGTAGCAGGGAAAATATAGACAATCCCCAGGGCTGCTGGTCCTCCCATGGTCCAGGTAGAGGAATGCATTTGTCAAATCTCCCTCTTTGTAGGACTGGTCTGTTCTATTCTGCAAATTGAACTCGAGCATTTATCCCATGTTTTTACAGATTCATCTTTGGAATCTCAGACCATCGAAAGACAGGTCCATCCATTTACCCACAGCAGTAAATGTGCCAAGTTACACATATAGGAATTATGTTTCAGTAAAATGTCACCGTGTAGGAAGCATCTTCGGAAACCTTTTAAAGAAAATTTTGCAACAGAATGCAAAGAAAAGATAAGCAGAACGGATATTCACCAGGGAGAGCAAGGTGGTGGGAGAATACTGAACCCTCCACAAGGATTCATAGATGGTCCCTGGTCTGGAGTCCTCTTCCTCCAGTACCCCTGGACACCTGCCCTTCTTCTGACGTGTGTTGGGGTTTGGGTGCCCCCAGTTTTCCACTTGTAGCTTTGGGTACACCCTTCAGAGAAGGAATCTGTTTTGATTTGGGGGGCTCTGTGCCTTCCCTGTCAAATACCACGGACATCATCCCTGGGGATGAAAGAAAGGCTGAGAGGAGCATGTTGGAGCAGCACCTGGATAAGGCAGGGACTCTGCAAAGCTCAGGCTTGAACCTTGGCTGTGCCTTTTCCAAACAACTGTGAATCCCTACATATGGTGAATAAACTTAAGTTTAGTCATCTATAAAATGTAAAAATTAAATATACTTACTTTCAAATTAGTAACAGCTGAAACATTTATTCCAGTTTTTCCAGCACACCTTAGTGAGCAAAAAAAGCCCATGCATTCAGTAGGTACTGGGTCTTTTCAGCAAGGTGACAATCATGATTGGAAATTCACACAGCTACAATCGTTCCACTTACCTGCTTTCTTTTATTTTATGATTTGCTAGTGTTCTCTGAAGTGCAAGGTTCAGCCGTTCAAACTGGAAATTGAAAAGAAATGTTTCTAGAATTTCCTTACATAACACTTCGTCAGAAGATACAGTTTAAAAAATCCATTCTAAGGATTTCAAAGGAAGAGGCAGAAACGCTATTGCTTGAAGGAGTAAGTCACTGAATTTATGCTCTGGGGACTGGGACTGTCTGTGTCTTTTGAAATTGGGAAGAAACAATGAGCTCAGCCTGATGAGTGGGGCTGTGTGGCCACCCTAGGTCTTGTGCCTGACCGCGGCCTGCCTGAGAGCCATGACAGAGAATGGCTGAGTCCGCATCCCGGCCGGAGACGACTCCAGTTTGGGAAGAGTGAGCCTGTGGCTCACACATGAGTGCACTGCTGCATTTCCTGTCCGGAGCCCAGACCCTGAGATGAAATGACATCTGCCCCAACACAGCCACGCGTGAGCCTCCTCTGAGTGTCCACTGTCACACAGAAAGCCACAGGGCCTCACGACAGGGCTTACCCACCGCTGCGCTGCTCTGTGTCCCAGGGATGCTACACACCGGAAGGACAAAAAACACTCCTTATCTTCAAAAGGAATTCCTCATGACTAAAAAATATTGTGTCCTCTGGAAGCCAACCCCAACTCACGTTCTTTCTACGTGGGACAGTCTCCATTCTGAGACCATCCTCCAGTGGGGCACTTGGCGTTTAAAGTAAATAAGGTATTACTTAAAGTTTGCTTCTCTTTACCAAAACATTGTGCCTTGGCTTGATAAACGATACGCAGGTAGTTCTTGTAAAGACCAGTTCCTTTGTCCTTAATGCACCATATGTGAATATTTCCAGAATAACTGCTACCTGAAGCAAGACTGCTGAACTTGGACGGGTAGCATTTCATTGTTACAGTTTCCTCGGGCTTTCATATTTATACAGAGTTTATGTTTTCTAAAACAAGAACATTCTAATTCATAAAGATACATTCTGATACTATTCTTTTTTCTCCTTGGAACTCAGTACTATAGATCAGACAGACCCTGACGGCCTCCTAGCGCCTCAGGCTCCTGAGCTCTTCCAGACCCTGCACCTGAGGAGCTACAGCACATGGTCATCCAGCTCCCCACAGCGGCCATGTCTGCCTCTGTGTGTCTCCTGCTGGCCTTGGACAGGGCAGTGCTAACCACTTCCCAGACCGGGCCACTCACCAGCTAACCCAGCTGCCCATGGCTGAGCACAACTATTTCAAAGGTGTCAAAGGTCACCAGCCAAACTGCTATTGTGATGATATGGTATTTGAAATAAATGTCCTCAGCTTTCAGCTAGTCTAGTGGCTGCATCCCTTGAGCTCCAGCTCAAGTTTCCTCTTTCCCCATCCCTGCAGCCTGTACTGCAGCCTGACCGATTCTGGTCAGGTCACCTCACTTTTCTAGAACTTTCTGAGGGTGAAACACGGTTTCTCTGAAATTCCTTTCAGTCCTAAAAGTGAGTGACAGTGGGATCGTCAGTGCTCTGCACGGAGTAGGATGTTGGTTCTATATCAATTAAAAAGTATCACCATACTGTGGTAACTGAATTCTGATTCTATCAATGGCCACCCTTATATATAGCATGAGTTTACATAAAACTGAATACTGACTGAGAGAGAAACACATCGTATGAATTTTCAACTTCCCCCTCACTCCGCAGGCAAGAACAAGCTTTGCGTGGACCTCCTGATCCTAAAACAATCGTTCTCTTAAGGGATCGCATCCTGTTTGCAGACTTCCCTCAGTGAGAGACTGAGGTGCCCCCCCATTTCAGAACGGTGTTGGCTACTGAGCTCAGGAGATGTCAGCACCAAGGAGGCAGAGATATTGGCAATCACGGGGCTCATAACTATGACCCAGGTCAAGCCTGGTTTGAGAAGTCTTCAGACAAAGAGCCAACAGGAAAATGGAGGTTTTTATGCTCAGTTCTGCAAATTGGCCAGGGATATACAGTGCTCTTTGGAATTAGAAGAGGAAAACATGGTAGAAAATACATTATCTTGCTGAGAATTTAGCTCAGTGGTTCTGCCTGCCTGCCTTGTAAGCACAAGGATGAGAGGCCAATCCCCGGTACAACAAAAAAAAAAAAAAAAAAAAAAAAAAAAAAAAAAAAAAAAAAAAAAAAAAAAAAAAAAAAAAAAAAAAAAAAAAAAAAAAAATAATTTTTTTAAAATAATTTTAATTTGAAATTAGTAGGTACCTACTCTCTACTCT